CTTACAGCACATTTGTCGAGCTTTATGCAAATATACATGATCAGTTATAATAAAGTTAGTTTGCATGTCAGATTTTAATAAGAAGTCATCCTGCAGAAGATCCTACATTCCCAACCAAAAACTGCAGCATTTGCCCTATAAGTGAGTTAAAAAAATAAAAATCTTTGGTAAAAAAAAAAAAAAAAGTCCTTTTAATCACCCGTTTGGATCTTAATTTATGAAAATACACAGTGATATAGACAGACTGTACTGGATTAGTAGGAGATACAAGCATTAAAAAGCACCCAGGTATATGTATACTGTATTTCAGTCTGACATCTTGTTTTTGGAGTGCTGCAGCTATTAAAGCTAATTACGTATGTCTAGATGAGCATCTGCACATGAATTAAATTAGACTTGGCAGCCTTGCATGATAAATGGTGAAAAATGCCAGGATTGATTTAATTTCAGCATTTATCATGATGTATTCAAAAGAGTATGGATAAATAAGGCTGCAGTTTAGCAAAGTATACGCCCAGGCATGTTGGAAAGCCATGGCAGCGCGTGTCGAAAGCTCAAGAAATAGATACAGCTTTGACAGCTGTAATACCATGGAATTAGTGCAGGAGTTAACCTCTTACTTTCCTGCTCTCTTTTTCTCTCTCTCCTACTTTCATCCGGTTGTATCACTTTCTGTTTCACGAGTCTCTCTATCTTCCTCTCTCTTTTTTCAATCCATAGCAGTCAGGTGGAGGGTAAGGTACAGAGACTCAGCAAAGGCCAGAGATGAAGCGCACAAAAACCTTTAGTGACAGTGGTGTACCAGCAAATGATGTCACGGGTGATAAATCTGCTGTTGATCACTTGTCGGATGGATTACGGAGTTAGTGGAGAAAGCAATGATGTGAAAGCAAAAAAGTATCTAGAGCAAAGGGATGGAATAATGTAAAGTATTAGAGGGACTGAACAGGAGGAGAAGGATGGCAAAATTTAAAAAAAAAAACAAAACAAAATAAAATAAACCATAAGGCTGGTAAGTGTGGATGAAGTGAAGACTGAATTAGAGAAAGAGGATGAAGTATTGAGTTGGGGAGAGAGGAGGATGGAGGGGGAAACAGAGAGACATAAAGACACTGCGGGAGGGGGAGAGATGGAGGGGATGATTATGAGTGGAAATGTTCGTCTCTCAATCAGGATATGGACTCCCATAAATAACTTGCCCTCTCAGTCAACAGCATGATGTCACCACATTTACTCTCACTCTCTCTCTCCTACACTAGTCTCATACACAGAGATAAGGTGGAGGAGCAGATGTAGCTGCACTATTTCTGTCATAAAAAAATAAGAGGAAAATTCAGCTGAAATGTATGCAATCTCAAAATGATCTCAATTACGCCTCATTTTCCTCACTCCATGTTTAATTTTCTTCACTTGTTTTGTTCTACTCCTTCCGCTCTCCATTGAGTGTTCTTGTGCAGTTAATTTGTATTCTCATTGTGCTTGTTCTCAGTATTTACTGTTTGAGGCACCCCATTAATGTAATGGTATTGCTTTGACTAGGGACTCTCTGGTATATCTCAGGAATAAAACAAGACGGAGAGAAAGACGCAGAGAACAGGATGAAGAGGGAATGAGAGAACACAACGAAAGATAAAAAACAGAGCTAGAAAGAGGTTTTTGAACTCATACGTGATCAATCATATAGGCGGATTCATTTTTTTATATAATGTGAGTGACTGTATCACTACTGAAATATAATAATCTGGAAATACAATAATGATAATTTTATATCTCTCTTTCTCTTTGTAGAAATGTATTCTCTAATGCTTTTTCCCCAAACATATTCTTGGCTCCATCCATTATCATTCCTGTCCCCCCTCTATCCATCTCCTTGTCCATTTTCACAAGCAATCAAATATAAAATCAAATATCACATTCAAGGAACCTTAACTGATACAACTTTCTCTGACCTTTCGGTCATTTATTCTGTTCATTGTATATTTTGGTGTGGATGTAGCTCAGGAGGTAGAGCAGGTCGGAAGGTTGGCGTTTCCATCCCTGGCTGCTCCAGCCTGCATGCTCTGGGTAAATTACTGAACCTCGAGTTGCTGTCCTTTGGGTCCATTGGAGTGTGCATTTGTGTGAACGTTAGACAGAAAGCACTTAAGTGTAGAAAAAAGTGCTTGTATAAATGGGTGAATGAGGCATGTTGTATAGAATGTTTTAAGTGTTCAAGTAAAGTAGAAAAGTGCCACGAAAGAACCTGTTTTATTAGGAGAATACCATTTCTATTGTCTGAGTTTCCTTTCAAGTGTTGTTTTCTTTTTTCAATAAATAGCTAAATGGCCAATTTATGTACTGTCCTCCATATCAGAGCAACTGTAATTACTTGAGGTGAGGACTTGTTGCTAAAAAAATGAATGCACCCTATGACCAGCCATTCTCTTTTGATTATTAAGTAAATAGCAGTAAATAGATTTATTGCACATTTCATTAAAAGAATACACTTTGTTCCAGTATA